TGCCCATTCTGAAGCATGCCATCGTGGACCCTCAGACTAGACCAATATTGATCGCGCCCCCTGGATTGTCAAGAGATCGGCAGCTGTATTTATACAGGAATGTCCGCCCTTACGTAAGACCTCTACATCAGGATGAAGTATGCCCACCTCCAACTGAGGAATGACTTGTGTGACCATTTACTGGCTGTTTCTGACTATCATTTAACTTGGACATCATAATTATAACAAATTTCATTTAGTTTAATCATTCAAAATGAAATGTTTATTTTTAATCCTTCAATTGAAATCATTGTTTATTCCTGACTAATACAATAAGAGTAAAATAGTTGTGAATAATTTGAAGACACATACTAATGACCCGAGACTGTACATATGAACATATATTATATGCAGCTCACTGCTTAATAATATATGAAAAATTTTATCTAACATTAGTGAAGAAAGCTATGTAAATGCTTCATCTGTATATAAGTATTAATTAATTTATGGTTATACATATACATGTTATGAAATTTAAAGATTTATTGAAAAAATATATATATTTTTTATGTTGTTGAATATTAAAATAATTTTTTAAATTGTACAGAAAATGTTTATTTCCTCTGTTTTATCTTTGACGTCACTGACGTCATGCAAACTTTCTCCATATATGTAAATAAACATTAGTACTAAAATGCCAAAAAAAGTAACTTAGAAGTGCCCGATGACTTTAAAATTTCATTTTTCAAGAGTTCTACCTGTGTGCTATCCAAATCAATAAAAATATGAAAATGTGCAAAAATTGCCATAAGGACCCTTTTCTCATGGGCGCAATCATATATTATTCTAATTCTTGTGCCTTTAATACTACGTACTTTTTTGAGGATGGCCTCGAGACTGGCCTCGGAGCTGGCCTGGCCTGAGATTTCCTGGAGGGCCTCTCCGCTGCGGAAGGCATTGATGTCCACGAGTTTCCCCAGGGTGAGGGGGTCCTCGGGGGTGAAGTGGTAGTCCAGGATCTGCTCTATCACCTCCCAGTGACGCGGCTTCAGGGTTGGGTTACGTAAGTCTGTGATTACTGGCAACTGAAAATAGGAGAAAAAATGTCAGGCATCACAAGTAATAAAAGAGAATTAACTCACTAATCGCTTCACATCATAAAATTACCTTTTCATTTTTTTCTCATAAAAAAATTTAAAATTTTAAGAAATGTTTTAAAAGTTTACAAATTGAAACAAAGATAACTCGAATAATAAAATTTATCTACTGTTCATGTATCTAGCTGAATAAAAAAATAAAATATGCTACAAAAAAGTCCCTTTTCATAATTAAACAAAAATTTTCAAGTCAATTACAAGACCAATTATCAATTTCAACATGAATTGACCTACCCTGTCTCTCATGGTTTCCACGCGTTCTTTCAGCATGGGGACAACACCATTAGGTGGCAGACCTTTCTCCAGCTGCATCACAGATTTGGCAAACTTCATGGTTGTGTTGTTCATCTGCTCTGGATCCAGCGTCTCAAAAGGAACCTACAATGATATTTGCAGAATGTTAACATGTAATGTATGTTAAGTAAAAATCTTTATTTTTTAGGCTTTTAAATATCCTCCTGCCCTCCGATTTAAACACATCACATCAAATTTGAATCTCCAATGAAATACACTTGTACAGATCTATGGGTTATTTTCCTAAGAAAATATGAAGTAGAGGGTTTTATGCCCCTTTTTTCAAATTTTCTAGAAATTGAATGGCATTATCCAGTTTATCTACACCATAGATTTATTTTCTAAGTACCACTACATGTAAACAATAAAATCATGTACTCTGCCATCCTCACAAACAATAGTCCCTTCAGTAAATTATTTCCAGCCCTTGTTTTTGTATTTTACTTACATTCATCCACTCATTAATATGGCCGTCCCACTCATCAATGGCGGTCCACAGCAGTTCCTTGAGCTTCAGTTCCGCGTGGACTTCCTCCAGAGCGTCGTACTTGGTGACCTCGACCTTAAAGTTCTTCTGGTAGGACTTGTAGGTGAAGGCCTGTTTCTGTAGACCCTCGATCTGGTTCAGCATTCTCTTCAGTATTCCCTGGACCTTGTCTTTTTCTGCAGTGGAGTCCAGGATCAATGGGTTCTAAAGGGAAGACATTTAATGTGATGCATTACAATTATATTGTATACTAAATTATATATAGAACAAAATAAAAACATTCAAACATGTTTATTTTTTTGGAAGCTGAAAATTACTATACTACAATATTTGAGCAATCCCTAAAGTCTTTACAGGCTTGCTATTGCAACTATGACCAATAATATCTAAATTTGATTTTTTTATTTCTGAACCTTAAAAAGTTTTCAAAGGGAGATAAAAAAAAAATAACAACCAAATATCATTTGTTTTGGAAAGCATTCCTGTATGCAGTATTCTAATGATGATCTCCCTTACCAGACCTCTGGATTATCTCCCTTACCTGAGCCTCCTGTTTGATTTCCTTGACTTCCTTGCCCAGCTCGGCTATGTCCTTATCCAGGTGTGTACAGTTCTTGTCAATGTTGGCATCTCTTTCGGTCAGTGACTTATCTATGGCGTTCCTTACTCCTGTGATGCTGGGGTTCAATGTCTGTCAAGTAATTCAAATAAGACATGACGGAATATTCCGCAAAATGTGTGTATTTACGCTTGAAATCTTTAAAATAGGAGTTTCTCAACAATTTAATAACATATCTCAATGACCCCACCCTTTCCTTCTCAGGAAACACCTACAATTGTCTTGAATCTACTCATACAAAGAAATATGAAACTATAAGCAAGAAATTCAAATACATAAAAATTCAAGTCAATTTAGTATAAAGTCAGTTGACTTCTAAACTTTCTGAATCTAAGTCTATGAAATCCATTACCTGGTATACAGCAAAATCCTCTGGTGGTGTCGGGACATTGTACTGCTCGATTAATTCATACATGTCCTTAACAATCATGGCTTCCTTCTCCAAAGGATCAATCTGTTAAAACAGATTAAAATCGTAAACTTTAGGAATTTACACTGTTAAATTTCTTATGAGAAATTGCTTACATTATATATTCATGAAATGAAAAATTAACTACACTTAAAAAAAAGAGGCCCACGGGCCTTATAGGTCACCTGAGCATTATGCAACAACTTTCCAGTTATTGAATTTGATTCATGTTTTAAGCCAGATGCTATCTGACATTCACAATTTTGAAAGAGGCACCATTGATCATCATAACAATACACTTTGCAGTTGCTTAGCTTGGTTACTGAATAGCTATACACAGGGTAGGGGAACAAAAATCCATTCCAACTAATCAGTAGTGCCCCTAACACTGTGACATAAACCCCTGACCCTAGGTCCACATATTGCACAAATTTTAAAAAGGCACCCTTAATATCAAAAAATAAATAAATGTTTTATAAATGCAAAAAAGCAGATTTCAAACAATAAATTCATTTTCAGTATATAAGTAGAACCCCTACCCCGCCCCTGAACCTGGGGCCTTGAAATTCACAATTCTGCAAGATTAGGGCCCTTGCTCATCATAACTATAAAGGTAGTTCAACTGCTTTATATCCAGAGACAGAGAATAAGATTTTCAAGATTTAATGTATTTTCACTATATAATCAATAGAGCCCCACCCCCCTAACACCAGAACCCCTGACCCTGGGGCCATAAAATTCATAATTTTAAAAGAGGCATTCTTGCTCATCATAACTATGTAATTTAGTTTATTTAATTCCCAGCAGCAATGAAGAAGATTTTCAAAGAATTAACATGTATTTTCACTATATAATCAAAAGAGCCCCCCCCCCCCCTCCCCAACACCAGAACCCTTGACCCTGGGGCCATAAAATTCATAATTTTAAAAGAGGCATTCTTGCTCATCATAACTATGTAATTTAGTTTATTTAATTCCTAGCAGCAATGAAGAAGATTTTCAAAGAATTCATGTATTTTCACTATATAATTAATAGAGCCCCCCCCCCCTCCCCAACACCAGAACCCTTAACCCTGGGGCCATAAAATTCACAATTTTGGTTGAGGCGCTCTTGCTCATCATAACTATGCACTTAGTTAGTTTATTTAATACCTAGGAGCAGAGAAAAAGATTTTCAAAGATTCATGCATTTTCACTATATAATCTATAGAGCCCCGCCCTAACACCAGAACCCTTGACCCTGGGGCCATAAATTTCACAAATTTGGTTGAGGCAATCTTGCTCATCATAACTTTGCACTTAGTTAGTTTACTAAATACCTAGGAGCAGAGAAGAAGCTTTTCAAAGAATTCATGTATTTTCACTATATAATCAGTAGAGCCCCCCCCCCCAACACCAGAACCCTTGACCCTGGGGCCATAAAATTCAAAATTTAAGTTGAGGCATTCTTGTTCATCATAACTATGCACTTAGTTAGTTTATTCAATACCTAGGAGCAGAGAAGAAGATTTTCAAAGAAATCATGTATTTTCATTATATAATCAATAGAGCCCCCCCCCCCTAACACAAGAACCCTTGACCCTGGGGCCATAAAATTCACAATTTTGGTAGAGGCATTCTTGCTCATCATTACTATGTACTTAGTTCATTTATTTAATGCCCAGGAGTAGAGAAGAAGATTTTCAAAGAAATAATGCATTTTCACTATATACTTATTTAGCCCCGCCCTAGCACTAGAACCCATTACCCCAGGGCCATGAATTTCACAATTTTGGTAGAGGACTCAATTCTTATTACAATCATGCAAACAGTTTGACTGCTTGATGTCCAGGAGTAAAGAAGAAGATTTTTAAAGATTGCATTAATTTTAGTGGTTTTGGCCCCGCCCCTCAGGCCCGAGGGGGGCAGGGATCATGAAATTCACAATTTTTGTTCCCCTTTACCTAAAGATGCTTTGTGCCAAATTTGGTTGAAATTGGTTCAGTGGTTGCAGAGAAGAAGCTGAAAATGTTCAAATGTTAACACACGACGGACGACGAACGACGGACGACGAACGACGGACGACGACGGACGAAAAGAGATAGCAATAGGTCACCTGAGTTTACTCAGGTGACCTAATTATCTAAACTTTTTTTTTAATTCCTATGGTTCCTCCTGCTTTCTTGTTCAATTTTACATCTTTTAATGCCTTGCATTAAGTCTTGTTTTAGGCACATTGTCTTGCAGCAACTTACCGTGAGTCGACTTAACTTACCCTGACTTGAATGTCGTCAAGGAATGTGAGCGAGTTGACAAACTCTATGGTAGTGGTGGGTACCACCTCCAGTTTGAACTGAGCGTCCTGTAACTCAGCGATGAGTCTGTCTACTTCCTTTCTGGCCTTTACTGGCAGAAGATCATTAATGACCTGAAAATTGTTAAATTGTAAATTAATAGTTTAATACACATGGATACATTAAATATAAAAAAAAATGATAGACTGAAACTGTGGAACTTTTTAATTAATGGTCATTT